GGCTAGTTCGTAGATAAATAAATTTATTTGAATTTTTTTATTTCATTAAAATTGAATTAAATCAAAGAAATACAAATAAGGAGCCGATAAATAAATATGTAAATTTCTTTGCAATTATATTTTCTCTATTTAATAATTGAAATAATTTGATTCGAAAAAAAATAAATCAACTAAATAATAGTTTATACTAACTCAATAATAAAAAGCTCAAAATAGAATTGCTTTTGAAAATTCTCACTAATCTAGGTTCAAACATATTCACGTCAAACATTAGTTTACATAAATAATACATGCTTTTGGTAAGGTGTATTCAGTGTTAATTTTTTTGAAAATATATAAAAAGGTGATAAAAATAATAAAGAAACAAATTAAATATAAATGAAAGAGTAAAAGGTCATATATAAAATTTATATTAAGTATTAGTAAAAAGAATATCAAGAGCATTGATTTTGTCACCAATTTTTTTTAATTCATTCATGGTCAATGAATCTTCTAAAGTAATTGTATCTATATGAACAAAATGATTAATTTCGCTTTATATTACTATCAATTATAATTTCTTACCTTGAGAAGCATCTTCATTTAAAGATTCATTTGTCAGTTGTAATGACTACAGAAATTTCAAATAATAAGCTTGTTGATTTGCAGACTTCTTAGTTTAAATGACATTAAGTTTTATTCGTTTTGTTTGATTGGAAAATAATGTAATTAATAATTTTGAACTACCACAAGAGTCAGTCGATAATTTTATAGTTTTGACAAATCACGTGTAATTTCTGTATCTATAAGTCATGACTTAGTTGGTAAATAATTTTAGTTTTAATTGTTTATACGTAAACAAATTTTTTTTTCAAATACGAACCCATTAATAACGGATTTAAATGAATATTTACCGAATATAAAATATAATTTAAGTTCGGTATATGCGTGAAAAAAAAAGATCAAAAATTCGAACTGTCTATAGGGTCACGGCAATTGACTAAGAGATTATTTCTGTGTATGACCGGTTCCAAATTTGGCAATAACATAAAACTACTCTAATTTTTTTTATTTATAGAGATTTTAAAAGTACTTTATTTATTAACATTATATAATAATTTATATTCACATTAATATTCCGTTTAAAGATAAATCGATTTATAAATCATATTTAAAGTAACAAGTTACAATGGTTCGGACTGATAAAAAAAATGCCTCGCAAAGATCATCATAAAAAAACTCAAAATAAACTTAATGTGAAGCTTCGTTCAGACAATATAGATGTTAGTAAAATAAAAAAGATAGTTAAAAAATTAATTAAAGAACGTAAATCTTTCTTATCACAACAGTTGAATAGAGACGAGATTTTTGCGAAATATTATGAATTAGAAAATTCTAAGATTAACAAATTGGAAACTCAAATTGAATCACTAATTTCCAAAATTAACCGATTAAAAAATGATAAAAATTTATATCAAACTGAAAACAATAAACTTAAAAAAGAATTACAACGCATTGCTAGCAGATATGATGATAATAAAACAGAGCTTGAAAGTTATTATAATGTTATTCAAAGAACTAATTATGTATTACAGGAAGTGTTCGGTTCTAATAAAATAGGTAAAATTAAAACTTTTGCAATTCAAATTTATATTTCTCTAATCTTAAATTTATTTATCAGATATTAGGCA